GTCCAGTATTTGGGGTGTGCACTTTTCTGTCTCTATAGTTTTGGAAGAGTTGTGTATCGAAAGTCCTAACATGTGTCGGGAGTTTCGGGGGTCAGAAGTCCTAGAAAGCGTCGGTAGTCCCGACACCTTACTGACTTGAGAGTTCACTGTCCTGGTCATACCGGACGTGTCTGTTATGGGCGACCAGATCCCAACGGCTAGTTTTCAAATGAGCTGAGGGTCAGGAGTTCCGACACCTCACATACTTTAATTCAGTGACCGTTGGCGCAGTGTAAGTCATACCGGACGTGTCCGGTATGGAAACGGCTAGAAAACAGCTAGTTTTTCCAAGGAGGCTATAAATACCCCCAAGCCTCCACCTTTGGCTGCTGCTGCTTCTGCTGATCCTCTAGCATGTTTTTGAGCCTTGCAAATACTCTCCAACCCTCTCTTAGTGAGTGATTCATCCAAATTGCTAAATCCTTTTGTGGGTTGAGAGATAATTCGAAAAAGAGAGCAAGCCACCACTTGAGCACTTGTGCATATTATTAATCTCGTGATTTGCATTTGTTACTCTTGGACTCTTCAGTCCTAGACATCTAGGCGTTGCCGAAGAGCACCGAAGAGATAGTGGTGTGCCTAGAAAAGTTTGTAACGGTCGATTCCGCCGTCGCAAGGGAAAGAATCAACTAGTGGAAGGCGGAAAATGAGTTGGAAAAGACTCCGGCTAGAGTGACCTTCGTGGTACCGTCTAGGGCTGACCTTCGCTGGGTCATCTATAGCCCCCTCAACGGAGAGTAGGACTCAACCGAGTCCAAACTTCGGTAAGGCAAATATCGTGTCTCAATTCGCATTTCTTTTGATATTTGTGTTGCTCTAGCTCTTCTATAGGTTCTTTGTATATCATATCATTTCTAGTAGGTACCTATAGGTTGGATTAAAGATTGAAATCGAAAGGAGCAAGTTTGGGACCGTTCCACTGAACACATGTGTACTAGACACCGGACACGTCTGATATTGGTGTATGTGCAAAACTTAATTGTGTTTTGATTTAACCCTTTGGTTGTAGGTGTTTGGCTCCCTAGATTTATTTAGTTCTTTTACATACTCTATGGCTAACTTGTGAGGGGTGGTATTACTCTTATTTGGAGTTTCTATTTTAGAAACTCCCATTACTAATCGTTTCCGCATTTAAATATGTTAATTTTTAGAAATGCCTATTCAACCCCCTCTAGGCGGCATTCTAGGTCCTTTCAGTCGCACATGTAGGTGTGCTAGAAGGTGCTACCTATGGTGATGATGTCGTTCGGCCCCGACATCTTTAACTTGAGGTAGGTGTAGTTGGGGATCGTCATGAACTTGGCATAGCATGGCCGCCCCAAGATGACATGGTAGGACCTCAGAAAATCCACTACCTCGAAGATTAGCACCTCCGAGCGAAAGTTGGTGTGGTCGCCAAACATGACGGGCAGATCGATCTACCCGAGTGGGTATGCCTACGTCCTTGGGATCCCGCCGTCGAAGGGAGAGCTCACTGGGCAGAGCTCCGACCGGGGATGCGCATGGCGTCGAGGGTGTTGACGTAAAGAATGTTGAGGCCACTGCCTCCGTCCATCAGCACCTTGGTGAGGCGCTTCTTGCGGATGATGGGGTCGACGATGAGTGGGTAACGACCCGGTCGAGCGACACGGGAAGGATGATCTCTCTGATCAAAAGTAATCGGGGAGTCCAACAGTTAAGGAAAGAGGAGATGGCTGACTCGGTGGCACATGCCTCTCTGTAGCGTACCTTGTGCTTACACTTGGAGTGGATGACGTCGGATCCCCCAAATATCATGAGGCATTCCTCGGGGTCGGGGAAGCCATCTTCATCCTTGCCCACCGTACCTCCTTTCTTGGCCTCCTCCTCCTTGCCTTTCCCTTCGTTTGGCATGGCGGCTTGCTGCAGGAAGCGCTTGAGGAGCTTACAGTCCTTGTAGAGGTGTTTGACGGGATAGGCATGGTTGGTGCATGGACTCTCTATGAGCTTGTTGAGGTGTCCCACCATGGCTAGGGGGCCCTTGCTCCGTTGGCTCACGACGTCCAAAGCCAGGGACCGGCCGTTAGTCCTTCTTGTTCTTCTTGCTCTTTTGTGTGGAGGGGCACTCGCCTTGGTCCTCACGCTTGGCCTTGCCTTGCCCGACCATCCGAAGATTTAACCGCCTCCTCAGGAAACGGGTTCATTGTCGGACACGGGTGGTACATGGCTTCATGAACCAACAGTAAGGAAACGGGTTCATTAGGGACACCGAATTTATGAACCAACAGTAGCAATTAAACAATCTTATTAGTACGACGAGGACAACTATTACGTTTCAAATTTCACCCGCTACCCTGCTACACACCGGTGGGAAGGAAAAACAAAAGGCCATTCAAAGCTAGAATTATGTCTTTTTCTGCACAGAGGAGTAAAGCACTAAAAGCTGGCAGTAGCACCACGGACCGGGTGATGTGATGACACGTGGCGAAACGTCACGTCGGTGTTCGTACTGAGTGACGCGACAACGAGAGAGACTGCTAGACCGGCGCTAGCCCCCGTCCCTTCACCTCTCCTGCCCACTGCACTGTGCCTGGCGCATTTTGTACCCTCCCACCGACACGTGGGTCCAACATCGCCGGGCTTAAGTAGGAGTACCTTTCTTCGGTCGGCAGGGGCCACGCACCTTCCCACGTGCGACGAGCCGCGGGCCGGACCCACCGCCGTGCGCGCGTGTGCTATCTGGGCCCCAGCTGCAGACCTCCTTTTTTTCTCCCTTGAAAGTTGGAACAGGCAACGATAGCACACGCATGTCTCTGCGACTCTGCACTCCCCCTTCTTCTTTCATCTTCCTGTACAACTCGCTACTGACCCAAGTCACTTGTAACATAGAGATAAAAAAAAAGTCACTTGTAACATTTTCGTATCACGTGCCTGTAGAACTAGGTATTCGCATGTGTCACTTGTAAGTTGTAACCAAAAGATGCATTCTTGAGCTGCCTCCGATCATACAACAAGTCCATTCCATTCATACGGACTGGGTTAATTACTTTATCATCTTTTGGTTAGCATAATAAGAATGTCTTGTATGAAAAAATAGGAATTTTTTCATAGGTTCAATTCTATAGGAAAAAACCATGAGGAAAAAAATCCACTCGAACTCAAACATCATTGTTTCTTGTTTCCTGTATTTTTCCCGCAATTCACCAAATACTCATTCCTCAATTTTTCATGTTTTTCATTCCTCTATTTTGCATATACGTTTCTATTTTTTAATTCTTGTATTCTTTCAAACCTATGTTCCAACAGAGACCGAAAATCAAATTGAGATCGAAAAAATTGAGAGGCCACGTGCGTGCTTGGAGAGCTCATGGAGGATCATGTACATGGAACTACGTGTAGTCCCAAGGTTTGGATAGTATGTATTCAAAACTTATATGATAAACAAATTTTTTTGATAGTCTAAACTCAAAGTCTTATCTGTTCTATGTATACTTTTCTTTGGTAGTATAAGAAAAGGGTACGGAGGAAGATAACGAGGAGATCTCAAAAAAAGAGAGGAAGATAACGAGGAGGTATTCTAGTCTTTATTGACAGATGAATGCTTGAATAGCTTGTTTTCTGTTTCATTTTCCTTTCCTTAATACATTACATATACATAGTATATACTACATATAAATATCTATCTTATTATCTTTTATCAAAAAATATTAAGGCATAAATTGATTTGAGACTGCCCCTATGTGTAACCCCATTGGCCATTTATGTATTCCATTGGGTAAACAAGCATTTCTATGTGTCATTTCTTTCATCTTCCCTACAAATTTCCTATGGTCTCTCATACGACTTTACTTTTTCGATAGAAGAGGCTGATACAAATAATACAATTTATATGTATATCAACTACATCATGTGAAACCGATTATTATGAAACTTAGGGAATCTTCAATGATCGGTTCTAAACTAGTATTATTAGCTACCATGTGGAGAAGAGAGACAAAAGAAAACTTTAAGCTAGAGTAAAGAGAAGAGCTAAGCTCTTTGCACGTCTCACCGACAGACATAACCCCTTTACATTTGAAAGGAAATATGTAAACGAAGAACACTTTTCAGTTTACATGTAAGACACATAGGATGAGATTGCACCTAAAAGTTGATATTAAAACTTTTACTGTTAGAACTTCCCTTATATGGACGTTTGAAATCCATTTTCTTTATTCCCCTAGCTCCAAAACCAAAAGAACCATGCAATATGATCATGCCTAGCATAGCAAGGGCATCTTTTGAAGTCTTATCCATTCATCAAGGTCTCCCATGCAAAAAAGAACGACACACCTTCTCCCTCCTCACACTACTAGTATAGCTTCACTGCATAAAAAAAATCAATGAAAATGGAAACATTAAAGAAAAACTACCACCGTACAAAGAGTCCCCAACAAACCCATCCATGCACATTTCTTTATAAAATTTTTCTCCCATAGAAAAACCACCTACCTTTACCTCCCTAGCTCTATTATTCCTTGCCTCTTTCCCAATCTCACTGGCAGGCACTGCCTCCATCATCCTCCCACAGAGAGAGAGCAGCCAGAGGCACGGCAGTTCACCCCATGTATCCCGCTGCTGCAGAGATCACGCCCAGCTTCTGCGCCTGCAGCTCCAGCAGTAGCAGCAGCAGGCGCTGCAGTGCAAACGGCCGCTGCTAGTTCCCCTGTTCTTGCTTGCCCCTTTTTCTTCTGCGCTAGCTAGCTGCCGCCGCTTCTTCTTCGTCTTCCTGGAGCTTCCCGCATCCACACATGCCCCAAGAACCAGACAAATAAACAACACCGAACCATCCGAGTCTTCTTCTACTACTATTTCCAGCGATTTTATTTATTATATGGATGTGTGCACAGGTGCATGTAGATAGGTAGAAGGCAGATTATAGCTAGGGGCAGCAGCTTGGTTCGTTGCTGGGGCACGCGATCGAGCTCCAGGAGCCAAGAAGATTGCAGGGAGGCGCGGCGGGCATGGAGGATCTGTACAGCATCCACCCGGGGATCTCGCGCGCCGGGGCGGCGGCGGCCAGCGAGGCGTCCGGGGTCGCCGGTGGACCGGGCTCACCGCCGCCCCCGCCGCCACAGCCCCCTCCTCCGCCGCCGGCGGATCTGACGGAGCTGGTCAAGGCGCAGATCGCCGGGCACCCGCGCTACCCCTCCCTCCTCTCCGCCTACATCGAGTGCCGCAAGGTACCCCGCCGTCGCATCGTGCGGCCGGCTAACCACAGCGCTAGTTCGCCTTGCGGAAAGATTGCGCCTTGATGACGCGCTCGCGTGGTTTCTTGATTTGGCGTGTGGCAGGTGGGCGCGACGCCGGAGGTGGCCACGCTGCTGGAGGAGATCGGCCGGGAGAGGTGCGCTGCCGCCTCCGCCGGCGGGGAGGTCGGCCTGGACCCCGAGCTCGACGATTTCATGGTACGCACGCCACGGCCACGCACGCCACTCGCGCGACGCACGCTAAACCTGTTCTGATTCTTGCGTCGTTATTACATGTGACCGTGGCCACGACGACGATGGCGGTGGCGGCGGCGCGGCGCGCAGGAGGCGTACTGCCGGGTGCTGGAGCGGTACAAGGAGGAGCTGTCGCGGCCGTTCGACGAGGCGGCGTCCTTCCTCAGCAGCGTCCGGACGCAGCTCAGCTCCCTCTGCGGCGGCGCCGCCTCGCTCTCTGGTAGCTACTACTCCGCCGCTCACATGCATCTCTCAGGCCTTGTACGACGACGACGACCTGGCCATGCCATCGCCATTGCGGACATGCATCTGTGCGGTGCATTATTGCTGCTCTTGTGTGAACTGTGAAGCGAAGAAAGCTAGCGTGTGCGTGTGCGAATATAGGGGCGAGGATGGCTACCAGCTGCTTTGATGAATGCGTGCGCGTGTGCGTGTTCTTGTGTGGTCAAATCGTGTCCATGCAAATGGGGTGCAGGAGTGTCAGACGCCGGGGTCGGATGAGTAAAAGTTCTGGGCGTGTGCTAGCTTGCTCGTGTAGGGTTTTCTTCAAGGTTCCTGTGCACCATGGCTTTGCCTTTGCTCAGTGCTCACCTCCTCCTCTCTGATCTCTCTCTTCTCTCTCTAGGAGTAGTAGTAGATGAGAGAGAGAGAGAGAGCATGGAGGTACTAGCTGCTGCTACTTGTAGACTTTTGTAGGCTGCCTCGATCTGACGACTGATGGAACTTGAGGGAGCTGCGCTCTGATGGGCAGTGACACTGCTTGGATGGCTTTGGGAAAAGAGAATCTTGCTCGTGCAAGGGCTTGTTTAGGTGCCAAAAATTTTGGCAAAATGGCACGACAGTAGTTTTTGTTGTTATTTGGCAATTAGTGTGTTTAATTAGGTTTAAAAGATTCGTCTCGTGAATTTTGTCTAAACTGTGTAATTAGTTTTATTTTTTATTTATATTTAATGCTTCATGCATGTGTCAAAGATTCGATGTGATTCGATGTGACGGAGAATCTTGAAAAATTTTGCAAAATTTTTTGCAACTAGACTGGACCTAGGATTGCTAGTTACTGGTGCCACTGGCCAGAGTGTGTGCGCGCGCGCGCGCGCGAGCGCGTGTGTTTTGCTGTGGGGCAGCTCTAGATATTGGGCTGGATTCTGGCTTGGCTTTCCTAAAAAAAACATCGTGTGATTTTCTAGTGAGATATATGATCAACCTCTGCCATGATTTTGTTATGGTAACCAGTGATTAAGGACAGTTAAGCTTCTTTGTGTCTGGCGATCTTCCTTGTTTTTTTATTATTTTCTGTGATTCAAGATAAGGCCTTATTGTCAGACACAATTAGTAAGATAAGGCCTTATTATCATAAGAGCAAGTTTGGGTGCTAATGCAGTAAATAAACATATCATAAGAGCAAGTTTGGGTTCGCTTCCAGCTAAGCCGATGGGATGGAGATAGACAATTTTCTTTAGCAGTTTACATTTATCAGCCTGTTCGTTTCGTCGTAAACGATCGTGGATTATTTACTGCTGGCTGGTTTGGTGTGAGAGAAAAATATTGTTCCAGCTTATAATCCACGATCGTATAAGGTTGCTTTGTGTTAGCCATTCTCATCTGCGACTGCGATTTCCATGAATATTGTGACATCTCGCCATCATGAACAGGTGAATTTGCAGTGGTGAACGCCCATGGGCTTTTTGAAACTTCACATGTTTAATAAAGTCAAAAGGACGGCGATTGGGTAACTATGGAAGCATGTGAAACCTTTAATACAGCCTAACAAACAGTAGCGCAGTTCTGGGCAGAACAGTTCATGTTTTGTTTTCTTGCCATTCTAATGTAGTTAGGCAATGCCAAGTACAGTCATGCAGGTTACTGCAAAGGGGTATGAAACATGGTCATACCGATGACCACAAATGTATCTCCTGTTTTACTCAGAGGGATTGTGATTTATACGTAAACTGTGACAATTCGATCAGACCAATAGAATTATGCTCCACATGTTTATACAAAATGTGCGTAAGGAGAGTCTAGCAATGTGCAGCATGCATATAACTAATATTGAGTGACAAGCTACCGATATAAATTGTTATAATTATCTTAAAATATGTTATCACTGTTTTGTACAACAATATATTAAACGACTACTAATCCCAAAATGACAAGGCCATTCAACATCACATTAGTCATTTGTAGCTTGGCATGTTGGCAAAACTAGCAAAAGATTATTTGTGTAAACTTTTATAATCTTTGCTCAATGCCTCATTCAATTATATGCACATTTGTAATAGATTAAATTTTTTTTTTCTAAATGCAGGCACAAAGTAGCCGTTATGAATGCATGCATTCATTTCATTCATTTACTTTGCTATATGTGTTCAACTATGTGTTAAGCAAACAAGATTAAGTGGCTTAATCGAATTCATCTCGACGATTACTCCAATATTAGATACTATAAGTTATTGTTATAGCAACGAGCTAGGATTTCTTGTGATGTTTGTATGGACTTCATTTTTGAACGTATGTGTTTAACATGTGTGCCTTTTTTTTGTTTTTTTCTCCATCTTTCATTGGAAATATCCTAACCTTTTATGTTTCAAGAACAAAACATTTTTCTTCATTAGGAAAAGAACCATAGGGTTTTCTCATATCTTTTAGTTTTATAATATTATGTGATTCCTAAGGGGGTGAAAACATAAATAATTGTGGGCAAACTTGTCCTAATAACTGGATTGGTCTATGTTGCTACGAAGCTTATATGATATTATTCTTTAGGTTATTTGTTTGTTATAAGATGCCTCCGCCTACCCCAACTTGCTTGGGACTGAAAGGCTATGTTGTTGTTGTTGTTGTTATTTGTTATAAGATCAATGATCAAACAAGTGCTGCCTTCATGTGCCAATTATGAAATCCTTCATGCATCCCTTCGCACACAATACCTCCGGTGAGCTCTGGATGATCCAGTAAGTAATGAGTGACCATTTGTCGGCAAGGTTATTGCAGTGTATGATAATACAAATGAGACACAAACTCCATACTAAGGTTGGTTATCATTGTCCTCGTAACTAATGGAGTATTAAGTAAATTAGTGTATCACCTGCTTAGGCAGCATTGGACTGGTCAGAATGATGGATGCTCTTGTATAGGCAAGGAGGAACAGACGTAGACTATATGTTCACAGTTCATAATAAAAATCCTGCCTTGGCTGTGTTGGAGATGTACACATGGTTATGGCTGTCACGATCAAATTGGTTTTTGTACTACTTTTCTCTACTGGTGCTTTAAATCCATAATAACTCTTATAAGAGGTTAGTACTGAAGGAATACTCAAGTTTAAGCAACGGTATGCTTCTACAATATGAAATGGTGACAAACGTGCAATTTTCATGCACAGTAATGCAAATGGAGACAATTGTTTTTGTATTTTTATTAGAAGACAACAATAAAAATGCAATTTGCTCTCTAGCTCAGGAAAATAACTTTTTTGTGGTCCTGGATATGGTATTATTTATGTATTACTGGCACTTTAACTTACCATAAGCAAAACCATTATTAGAACAAACATAACTTTAAATTAAATAATTGATTAATTTTCATCTTCAAGTATTGCATTGAGTGGTTCCATTCACGCAAATAGGTACTGAAACCCATTTGACGTTGCACGATTTAGCGCAGAATGTCTGCAATAAATGCTGACATGGATATCTAGTTGTGTATAATCTTTCACTGGATCAATTAATCTGCTGTTTCAGCAAAATTATATGGATGCTGTCCACTACTTAATTTGTTTTAACTTTGAAAGATGTAGGGATCTTTTGTTAAATTGATTTATCTAGGGTCCTGCTACAAAAGATTACCTCATTATATCATTATATGCCACGGTGAACGTTGAGTGTTCCTTCAGAATTTACATATGGCGTTTGGGCTGATGTTGTTGCATTGAACCTTATAATAAAAGGACGTACCCAGTGCAGAGAGCTCCCGCTCTGTGCGGGGTCTAGGGAAGGGTGTTAGTGGCAAGCCTTACCCTCGCCTGTGCAATGCGAAGAGACCGCGACTCGAACCCGGGACCTTCCGGTCATAGGCGGTAAGACTCTACCGCTTGCACAAGGCTTGCCCTTCTCATTGAACCTTATAATGATCTAGCATAAAAAACTCGACCTGCAGGGGTAAGACATGATATAGCATCAAACAAGGTTAGTTTCCAGGCTTCAAAATATTGTATGAGCTGATGTTTTCACATTGAAATTCTAATAATCTAGCATCGATGCTTGCATAAGAATTGAATGGGAAACTCATGTGTGCCTGGCAGATATCAAGGTAAAATTACAAATCCTACCAGTTAAAGTTAAGTCTAATAGAATAGGAAAACACAGCAAAAATATCTAACTTCTACACATTTTACAGAATCGGAGGTACCAGACACAGTATTAGTTGTGAGGTCTAATAGAATAATTTACAATAATTTTTTACAGTCTGGTGTCATGGAAACGGAAAACATATATGAAGGCAGGCAGACATTTATGTTATGCATCCTATGTTTTGTTTCCCTGATATATTAAATATTTGTTTATATTATTTTTTATAGTTTTTATATGGTGTCTACTAGACTTCCTTTTTTTCATAAACAAAACCATAGAGCTCTGGTACTTAAACATACAATAATCAACTTGTGTTTAAAAAAAATGAGAAAGATTGCATTGTTGTTTACATCATAGTACTTTTTTTTGGAGGCCTCAACCACTGGCTTGCTGCATAACATATTTAGGCTACCTCCTAACAGGGTTTATGGTAGTGCTTACCTGGGGTCGTGCAAGCAAAACTTATTAAGGGAGAAAAAAATTAAGACACCAACACAGTTTTTAATGCTTTGCAATACAATATACTGGAAATGTTTTATCTGAAGACTAAACACCATCTGGAGTTTGCTTCCTGAGTGCATAAGGATTATTGGAGTACACATTGTTCTAGAACAGGTGAGCTTTAGCTCCGGTGGACAAATCAGCATTGCTGCATTACATTCCATCACGAGCATACTCAAGTGCTTACGTGGCATGGATGACAATTTAGATTGCTTTAGGAACGTGCAGAATGGTTGCTAATGCTTCCTCTGTTTCCTGGAATATCAATTCTAAAATTGCCAGTTTTGTCTTAGATTTAACTGCAATTCTTCCATGAAATGGGGAAAAAACATGAACTACAATGATTCTTTAGTTCGCTATTGGTTATGCGATCAAACTGGTATGCTTTCGCTGTATTGATGCACTGGATGTATTTAGTAAGAACGAAAATTTTGGAGACTATATAGACTTGACAGGATATTTGAAGATACTGATCAAACATCAAGCTCTGTTGTGTTTTTCTTCGAAGTCTGAATTACATCTTGTCCATATCTTTGTAAAGTTACATTTTGAATGTTCACTACTTTTCAGTGCTGCAGTTGTTGGCTTTGTGTCTGTAAGACACATTAAAAAAAAACTGAATGGGACTGTTTTTACTTATTACAGAAGGCTGGTTCTCAGTGTCCATCTGTTCTGTTATGGATATGGTTCAATTTTATTGCTGTAAAAAGGGGCTTATGGTCAGTTTTAGAGTCTTTTCCCTGTGTGCCATTAAAAAGGTTTGCAATTCCATACTCCAGTTTTTACCAGCCCGTGGATGGCATCTTGTCTCACTGTTTTGCATTAGTCTCATGTAATCCAATCTGCTGTCCTACTGTCCTAATTTTTTTTTATGATGCCCATTCCACCATATTCTGCCTACCATTTCCATTATGTTGAAAACTGCAATCTGATTTGGAATTTTTTGCATCAAGATGAAATGGTGGGGTCTTCTGAGGACAAACCATGCTCAGGAGACACAGACGCGACGGACCTGGGTCAGGAGCACAGCTCACGGTTGGCTGACCGTGAGCTCAAGGAGATGCTGCTGAAGAAGTACAGCGGCTGTCTCAGCCGGCTGCGGTCTGAGTTCCTGAAGAAGAGGAAGAAAGGGAAGCTACCGAAGGACGCTCGGTTGGCGCTGATGGACTGGTGGAACACGCATTACCGCTGGCCGTACCCTACGGTAACATCCTGACAACACACACCTTTGATCTTTCCTTGCCCAAATGTCAAATCTGTGATCAGCATTGCTCAAATGTCAATATCTTGGGGATGATATTGATACGGTGGCGTTTGCAGGAAGAGGATAAGGTGAGGCTGGCGGCAATGACTGGGCTGGACCCGAAGCAGATAAACAACTGGTTCATCAACCAGCGGAAGCGGCACTGGAAGCCATCGGAGGACATGCGGTTCGCGCTCATGGAGGGCGTCACCGGAGGCGGATCATCCTCCGGGACGACGCTGTACTTCGACACGGGCACGATCGGGCCGTGATCGACTCTCTGACGACACTAGTTTCGGCAGGCAAAAGAGCATACACATTTACTGGGCAAATAGTGTTTGCATTGCAGTTGAACTGCACTGCACTGCACCGCGCCGCCAATGGGGTAATTGTTGGTTGATATGGAGATTAGTCACATGATGAACCAATAACCGCTGTCATTTTGTCGGATTTATTGTGTATATGGGCGACAACGTGTCGGTACACTGCACACAGTATGTAGTACTACTACAAGGGAGTTGCTGTCCAGTCCAGATGAATTGTTTAATTGCCTGTATGCATATTGATCACCCAGTTTTACATCTGAAAATTACTGGGAGTAATTGAGAATCAGAAGTGTTAGAATATATAATATTACTTGCAGCAATGGATTTCGTTACTACTTCCTGTATGCAATGAGACAGTGACGAATGCAGTGTTTTCTGTGTGCAAGTATCTGATGCTGTGGCTCTCCTGCTGTGCCCAACTTGGCTGCAACTGCAAGCGTTGGTGAGAAAGAAATTTGTGCTGCTGCGGCGTCTCGGATATGTATGCGACGACCGGATCGGAGCAGAGAGCTGCCGTTTCTTGATATGCTACGTCGTCTTCGTGTCGATCGTTGGCCAGAGCAGACTTAAGAGGATAAGAAGGATATCACGTGTTTGCTCTGGATTTCGTTGACAACGACTTGTTCCGGTTCTAGGGTTTGACGAGGCACTTAAGAGGATAAGAAGGATATCCCAATGTGCGCTGTATGTACGAACCATGCTAATGTTCACTGTTTCAGTCAAACAAGCTTTTCACATTTCTGAATTAGTGTTCGGTCCTTCCTCTATTTATTCTGTGAGCTGTTGTTTCGGCATTTTCAATAAGTGTTCAGTCCTTCCTCTTAATCTAGTGAGCTATTGCTTCAGCATTTCCTTCTCAAGGAGAGTAACACTTACTGAGCACAACGCCACACATTCTGCATGTCTCCTTCCAAAACTAACATATTACAAATTACAGCAAGGAAAAATAACAACAATAATATACTAAAAGTAAATTGGAACCTTATTGCAACAACAGATAATTTATACTAAATATAAATGTAAATATATTATTATAATTTATATAAATTATAAAAACTAGAAAAAATATCATTATTCATATAATAATACAACAATAAATTAATAAATAAGTAAATAAAATTAATTGTAAATCCTATAATTATAATTAACTATATAATATAATACAATATAAATATGAAATCAATATTTTCATTACTATAAAAAATAAATATTCAACTTAATTTGTTGGGCCCCTCCTGAAAGAGGTGGACCCTCCAAAATTTAGTGTATGCTGCTTGTTGCGACATGCACACGATATTCTTTAGTAAAAGGTGAAAGAATAGTTCGTTTTGTGCTCACCACACCGCTGTGTGCTTCATATATTTGGCCAGCTGGGCCAGGCACATTGGGTCGCCTGGGCACAGCACTGAAAAGCACGGCCCAAGCGCGGCACGGCTAAATAGGCCGGCACGACCTCGGCACGGCTCCCCCCGCTCCCAGCTGTTGATGCCTCCCCCCGCTCCTCTTGACCGTTGGATTTGCCTGTTGGATGCCCGTAGTATATATGGCAAGTCGCCGCCTTCTCTCCTAACCCTAATTCATTCCTCACCGCCGCTCTCTCTCTCTGTAACAACCCGGGTTTTTGAGAAGCAAAAATACGAACTTTTTAAAATTTTTCTTGTAATATGTGAAGCATGTAGATGCTAAGTCAAACAAAAAACAATTTATAAATAAATTGTTGCATACATATAGTGATGCTTGTAGGAGCTTGCCAGAGTTCCTTATTTGGTTTAGGGATTTGTGTTGGAGAGCACAAGTCCGTAGCAAATCATTTTGATCCCTTCTAGAATATCTTATGAATCCCTTTTCCTCTCTGTCAATTCATCTTCTTGCTTTTGAACCTCATTCGAATCCCTTGATCTAATTCATAAAGTCAATCGACCTTCCTTGTAAATCAATGCCCATCGTTGCCAACCCTTGGCATTGGACTCCCTAAACCCTAATGACCCTTAGTGAACCCCACTAGGATGTATTCATGCTTGGCAACGCATGTATACACTCATAGAGACCCAAGGTATAGTTAGAATGGAAAAGTAGAAATTGAAAAGACTTAGAAAAGAGGAGAAAATGGAAAAGGCCATTTCGGCCAAGAGCAACTACGCGGCCCAGCCTGATCATGTAACACCCGGTTTTAAGGACAAAGCCGAATGCACACCATATGCGAGCCCTAGTAATCAAACCTCACATATAGCTACAAATGAAGGGCAGTATCAATTCACAATGCTTAATATATAGCGAACTTAGCAAAAGAGATAACCTTAGAAAGCAATCAACGGATAGACAACTCGATCTCCGGTGCGAGACTTCACTCCCTCGGATCCAACTCGACCGGTTGATCACAAGCCTACATCCTTGAGACTCTAGCAAACCGATATCCAAATTAAGGTGTGGGGGAAATTGCAAGGATGAGTCCATGTCGAACTCAAATAATATAACAACAAGGTAGTATATTCCATAACCACATGATCAAGTATAATTGAATAATAAATATCTTAAACAATTGACATAAATGATCATCTTAACAAGTAAAAGTCATCATCCCTTATGTAAGGGTTCCAAGGCCGCTTCGTATCCGTGAGCACGGCTAGTATACCCATTTATTAAACTCTGCTGCAGAGGTGTACACTTTCACTTGTGAGTCGTGATTTGCCCTTTCGCCGAGGTGATCAGCCTCTTAACCCACTACCATGGAAGGTCGGCGGGGTTCACTTGTGAAGCCTTTCAAAGGTTCGTCTAACAAGTTAGGGCCGCTAGGTTTCGTGGCTCATGAATGTAGAGCTCCCCTTCCGACAGTACAATGACGCCTTGCAGCCTATACACTTTGACAGACAGAGGCCGCACTATATCCAACCCGAACACACCCTCTTGCGCCATGAAGGTAACCACTAACAAGCTAGAAAAGGTCCTCATACTGAGCTAAAGCCAGAGCCATATAGCCCTCACAGCTGTACTGTAAGTCCCGGATGATCACTTACAAGACAAGTCCTTATGTTGCTAAAAAGTCACCTTGTTTATGTTTATAGCATATTCATTAATCAAGTTTCAAGATCATGGTCACAGGAAGGAAAACCCAAGCTATACTTGCCTTAAACACCGATCCTTCGGTAAGCTTTAATCTTCAATGTTTTCTTCTTCTTCTTCTTCTTCTTCTTCTTGATCTCCAACTTCTTATAGATTACCAACGCAAAACTCACCGACTGGACAAGACCGAAAAGCACCACACAAGCATCCGAACAAGCATGCATAGCAAACATACTAGATTAGAACAATACACCAATCAATGAAAAGATTCGAAATCTAATCTACACATTGCTACGATCACACACACGCGAAAGGCACACTAATCGGAGCTACGGTAGAACAGAAACATCTATCGAAGGATTTACGTTGGAAAGAAAACTATATGCTTTATCTATTTTAATGATCATAAAACATGTATAAGATATCTCAGGGAAATATCTAAAATTGAGTTAAGTCATTTTATACTTGAGTTATTAGGTTTAGAAAACTAAGATAAATTAATCATACCTTAATTATAAATATTTTGATATCATTTATGCAAATTAAATTGAAATATAATAACAAATGAGAGTATATATTCAAAACATATATAGCACGTATAAGCCCTTGCATTTATTATTTTTAAAAGGAAAACCAAAATGATGCAAGCATTACATCAGTTTAGGATTTATCAATGGAATAATTAATAATGTATTAAGGAGCGGATGTGCATGTATTATTTAATCAAAATAAACTTTAACTTTTTCAAATTAAAAGAACATGTAAGAACATCTACACTATAACTGAATATGACGTGAGTTCAGCTAAACAAATCAAAACATATATTTAAATTGATATAACCAGTTTAATATTCATTTATTAAGGCCGACGTGGAAAACCTATATTGCTTGTAATTAATTTAGAAAACTAGTTGCACATTAATCTTAATCAAGTTAATATTTAAGTTCACAATGTATACTCCTAAATCTGAGCTAAAACAAATCATGTTTTATTTATAAATGTTGCCGTATAGATTAATCAAATCAAAGTTTTAACTTTGCAAAAGTAAAATGCACGTGAGAGCATCTAACTCAAATTTTTGTATATAAGAAAGTGCTTAAACTAACCAAATAGAGTTTAAAACATATTTATATTGCTAGTAATCAAATTAACAATTACTCATAAATGATCGTTACTGTCCTATGTTTCTTTTAATTATTATAAAACCAATTACACTAACATTAATCAAATTAATATATAACTATATATGAAAAAAAAACAAGTAACATGAAAAACATCGGTACTACTGCGTAGAGCTCGACGTTACGAAACCAACGCCACCGGAACGACTCGAATCGGACTTAAAACGAAGAAACGACGGAGATTAAACGACCGATGGCAAACTTGTAATTAACTGTGTCCTGTACCTTTGGTCGTCTCCATCATCTGGATGTAGCAGAACGCTGTCATAGCCATAGGGGAAACTTTGGCAGGAGATGGACCAGCTCTGGCTGCCCATGCGCTAGGAGCCTTGTCGACTGCAGGTCACGGCAAGACGTACGTACAGAAGCTCAGGATGTTTGACACTGACCTCACGACCTGAACATAGATGAAGACACATGTTGCCGGCAAATGACTTCTCATGCATGAATAATAAGGGGAGATATGTCTACGTGGAAGATGTCCAGCGTCTAGCATGGCTTGCTTCTTCATAGCCGGCTATCCAGTGTACGAACTCGTCATTTCTTCTATCTTCATGTAGTACGCTGGAGCTTGGAACAGCAAAACAGACAGGAGACAAGCAGGATCAGCTGACGCACAGCTACGGAATCATCGGCCAACACACTGCGGATGGGCATGCATGTCGCAGTAGGTGCACTGCGTTAGCAAAAGAGCAGCGTTTTGTT